CTCGAGTTCACGGGATGAGGGCGATTTCTGTCGTTCCATTTCCTGCGACTAAATCGATTTCGAAACTTCACAGTAACGGGTTCTGATGCCATAAAGCTTTATCAATGGCAGTCCGCATACCAGAAAGGCATGGGACTCGAAAGAAGTATAAAAGCCCCGAGGCTACCGAAAGTTACCGGAAACAATGTGGAAAACAAACCAGTCGCCTACGATATGTTGTTGTTCAAGAAGGCGGTGACACGTTAGGAAACGAGAGTTACGCTTAGGTCAACGACTACCGAACTCATCTGATGTCTATTAGCAACCGTGACGGTAAAAAAGTAGCGGATGTAACTGAAAGCATCATGCAAATTTTGAATCAAAACTTTGCCAGAGGTCAATGAACCACGTATTTAACCACAGAAACGAGATCAGTTTTATATCAGGAACACCGAGTCACATACAACGATGGATACTCGAATACCTAAATTAATGTAAACCGGTCATAATTTTTATGTACCGTTAAAAAAACGTGAAATTAATTTGAAGAACCTGTCTGCCCGACAAAATCTGTGTAGTTTAGAGGGAATTTTGAAGAGTTTTGAGCAAAGTATGAGAATTCGTGTCTGCAACTTAAGAAACAAAGATTGTGTATACACAATTCTGGTTGGAAAATTGTCATGACAAGGAGCCATATCGGGAATCATATGTGGAGATTGTAGTTTTATATAAAATTAATCTACCGGGTACTGAGAGAGAATGTGAACAGGCAGGTAAATTATGGTAATTGAACGTGGAAACTGAACACTGTCCTGAACAAGTACCATCGATTTGCCATCCTGACAACCTCTTCCCATACAATCCAACTTTAATATTATAATATCAATTATTAACATTTTTGTTTTTTTACGGTGATCGGCTGTTAGCTCGAGGCGCGACCCCCGGTCTGGTGGACCACTTCTACTAGGCAGACCTCGACTGCTGATTTAATATAATTGTAGCTTTGTCTTGCCGACAGTATTGGAAAAATACGTACTCCAAACCGGAGATGCCAGTTCTGAAAGCGTCCTTCGTGACTTTCACCTCTCATTGGTTTTCATTTATTTATTTGCAGATACAAATCTACTGTTAACAGATACTAATCTGCAGAGGGATTCAAAAACAGTTGCCCTTGTACAGTGCACTCACTGATAAAGTTCAACGCAACTCTTACTTCCCGGCTCACGGTAGGAACTGCTTCTGTGGACCGATACTTGACGTGTATCGGGGAAACCTTGGGTCACGCAGTTTCAGCCAGGAGCAGGGAAGTGATAGTTACGTTCAACTTTATCAGTGAACACATTGTATTTCTTTAGTGTGTACCTGGAAGAATGCGTCGTGGTAGCTTTATATTTATCTTGATAATTTCCTTTAAAATACCATGTACAGAAATTACTCTCTGTCCAAGAAGAACGTTCGACCAGCTGTACTGTTAAGATACACGTAATATTAAAATTGGTATTAATTACAATAAATTAAATATACCTGGCAAGTCCCAATACCTGACAGGTAGGATAAGATAATTCTCAATTATTCTCTTATTATACTGATGTCACCAAAGCGCATAAACATTGTTGTAAAGGTCTGCGTTTTAAATACAACAACGTTAACATCTCATACAATTTGTTATAGCAGTTTAGAAATTTGGAAAGAGTAAATGATGGCAAAAAAAGGTATCCTTCTGAAACATGAAATTTGGATTCCATTACTGTCAAACAGGGCGAGAACGAAAATTAGCCCAAAACTGGCGCATATATTAGCATGCTCAAGGAAAAACGAGAGTGGGCAGCTAAAAAAATCAGAATAAGCGCCATAATTACGTTTTAATAAACAAAGCGGAAAGCCTAAACCCAAATTTAATTAAAGACTGGTACCAAGCTTACAACAAATACGAAATAGCATGCTTAAAGTTAGAGAGTAGAAAAAATGTAAAATACAAACGCCTAATCGATCATAGATTGGCGTTTTAGACAAGTGGGATAAGATACGAAATTTCTACGAAAGGATAAAAAGCAGAAGGTGGGGAGAAAAAGGCCAGAGAGTCATTCACCGCCCTCTAAAGTCTGTACACGACAGACTGAATAAGCATGTCACGTTATATCACGTATTTCTGGGACAATTTAAACATTTAAGGGGTCCGTTCTTGTGAAAACCTTTTCTAAATTACATGTTCTGGCTACTACTGTGGCAATGCCTTTAAAGCACTGGAAATGTCCTATCAAACACAGGATTCTTGAGCATCCACCTGCTCTATGCACGACAGACAAACCAAGACAGGCAGAAAGCCGGCAATCCTATAAATAAAGGATACTAAAAAGACGATTCAGACACACAAAAGGAGTGGATGAATGAGAGAACTCGTGGAATGAGCAGAAACTATTAAACTTGACCTTTGGAGGTCAGGCACCACAAGCAGCTGAGGCAGAAGGGGCAAGCAATTTTCGTGACCTCCGAGTGGAAAGAAACAACTGCAACAAAGCGCTGTCCAAATAACTACGGATATAAGTGACTCATGTGCTCTTCCACTGAGCATTTGGAAAAAGCACGAAGTTCCGGCACTGGCACTGACTAACGTAACTGGAATGAGCCTTGTATTTGTTTCCTTTTACAGTCATTTATAAAGCACGCAGAAAATGCAAACATGTTAAAAGTTACAAAAATCAAACATCAGTTCCGGCAAATAAAACAAAAACCAGTTCTGATAAGGTCCATTACTGACCTCAACCCTTAATCTGCCGTCTCCGCATTAAGTATTTACTACGTATCTATTAAAAGTAACATTCCCACTTGCTTGTAGCAGTTCAAATCCAAAACTTAACAAAACGTGTGCTACGTTCTGTATTATCATCTTAAGATCACATAACAGCTATATGAATGCATAACAGCCAATGAAACAAGGCCAATCACTTGGAGTGAAGTGAAAAGTCAATCCAATTAAATATTTACACTGGAACAACATAGCGACATTATTTATAGTAGGATATGAGGTTGTCACGGCTGTCTCCATCATCAGGGCAATGAAGGAGGCTGCAAGCACCTCTGAAACGTCGGTAAACTACTACCAGAGTACACGGCCCAACAGCCCAGAAGACAACCATCTTCAGACCTTATTTATGTAAAGCAATGCATTGTGACTCTGCAATAGTTACGCGAGACATTTATTGGACTCACAGAGAAACAAATCTGGGTCTTTGGACAAGATATGCAGGCCATTTGAAAGCAACACTACAGATATTTATATCAGAGCGTTAGGCGGATAGAGTTTTCTGTATAAAGAACTGAACTTAATAAATGACTGATTGAGGTCATATAAAAGTTATTCCTATACCAAATCATTACGATGTATACAAAACGCCAACTAAACCTCTAAACATTCAACCCCCCCCCCCCCCCCCCCAAAAAAAAGGACAGAAGTGAAAGGTTTGCCTTCAAGCTTTGACCTCAAGGAAACAAATTATTTAACAACACTCTGTCAATTTCTGGGGTTATATGGCGTGGAACGAGGCAGAGACACGATATTAAATGACTTGTTATGAATCTGGAAAGAGTTTTGTCGTCTTGTAAGGCATCCGAGACTTGGGTTAAGAATGAAAACTGACATGACCGAGATTAATATCAGCTACCACACGAGTTACTTACTGTCTTTGCCTTTCGGAGTAAGAACTGGAAACGACGTTTGGGTGGAACACAGCAGTTCTGCCGGTTGAGAGAAACATTTCAAAACCTTTGCCGGAAACTAAAACCACATCGTTAAATCCCCTATTAACTCACTTTACGGGCAGCTCGGTTACGAAAATAGACAAAATAAATAACACATCCGAATGGACAACATATATAATTTACGAAGTTATAAGCCACAGTGCTCGAAAGTAATGCGATCATCGGTCGAAAGGTTAACTTTCAGGTTTTTATCGTCTCCATAAGTCCCTCGAGGCAAATATTCTGGTTTGCAGCACCTGCAATTAAATCACGACCGTTTCCTTCCACATTCTTCCTAGTTTATAAATTAAGAATAATCCATTCAACACTAGTTAACAACACATCGTTAAATAAACTAAGAAACGGAACGCGAACAGCAGATGCGACGTAGATATTTAACACTCAGTGGTTCCAAAGACGAAATTTTATTAACAAAACTGAATTGCCACTCTAACACAAATTCTCTACAAGTAAATTCTTCTCCTTAAATCGCTTTAGACCGAAGTTAAATAAATTCATGAAATCTAAAATCTTTCTGCACGTGGCTTGAGAATAGTAAGGATAAGCGACTAAGACTTTTCTGCATCGAAGTTAAAGAGACGGTCGGTAAAAATTAATGGGAACAAGAAGAGAGAAGCTTGGAACAGACTTAAATATCACCTACAAGGACGTCGTTGTTATGCACGACTTTTCTCGGACGTGCATGAGCCACTGAACGCTTGCGACCGTCCTAGAACTACACCTGTTCCTGGTTCTGAGTCCTTCACCCTTGGGGGAAGCGGACATCCGCCTACATCTCGCGCTGAAGGGTCTTCGTTTCTCAATTGGTCTCTGCTCCACGGAATTTGTTAGTTCCTTTGGGGCAAATTGGTTGCATTAAGAATGTAATTAGAATGGGTAGGATTCTTATTCTGCCAGCCTCTTGTCCTGGCACGGACACTCATTCCCTGCTCAAAAACGTTACAAATTCCTCTAAAGGCACGTCCGAGCACGTAACAATCTCCTAATGAATATGCTAATGTCCTCCGAACCTCGTGGTTTCTTGGTACGCGAAAGTGCGCAAGACTCTCAAGCCAACAGCGTTACTGTTTATTCTGAGTTTACAGTTTTATAAATTTGTTGAGGAATGGATATTTTTCAGCATTTTTTTTAAATTCTGCATTAACGGTAATATCAGTAAAATTATCCCAGTTGTTAAAATATCGATCCTAAAAGTCAGTACGTTACAGGAGACGGCAGAGAAACTCAGAAGCGCTGACTCCAAAAACAAATCTTGTACTCACCGTCTGAGAACGCCTCCTAGGAGCGACGCGTTGAGGCACTCAGGGGGTGATAATCGTCGCTGAACCTCGCCAACCGTCACCTTGTACTTGGACGTTGAGCTGAGCAGGGACAGACGGCCCGGGACGCTACAGAACACGTCTGAGGGCGCCGACGCTCCGGAGAGAACAATGTCTTTACTGTTCTCGTTATTTCGTGGCTTTATACCTGCACACATATAAAAAAGACATTCTACAGTTGCCGTCGCCAAATTGCATGCTACAAGGCCACGGAAGGACCTTAGCCGCTAGGCGACAACTAATGAACCATTGCAGCTGATAGTTTGAAATCTGTTGTTGGAGATACATCATTAAACATACATACTCTTTTTATATATGGCATTGAATATAAGTCAAAAATTAATAACATGGTGGCAATGCAAATCTTCCCAGTTACGTAATGACATATGACGTAGAGGTAATCCACACTTAATTAGCTTTTCCCAAGAAGAAACTAGTTAATACTATTGACAATAAAATATGTAACATGCCAAGAATTGTACGCCAGGATTCTAAACAATACACAATATTTTTTAAGATTCTACTGAAAGAAGTCTAATAAACACAAGTAATTGTACTATAGATAAATCATTTTCTTAAAAAATAGGTCACAAAAATGTCAAAATGGCCTAAAATGTGTGCAAACTCCATATTAACCCTCTGAAGTACGAAGACCATATAAATAGTAGTTCTATTTAAAAATGAATTTCGTTCTTCCAAGACGTCTCTATTAAAAGATCATCTGGTTAATGTTCAAGAAAATTATCGTAGTTTTTTTGAGAATCTTAAATCTCCATAAATGCACTACGGGAACAAAATCCAGACTAAATAAATGTTAAATGTGGTGGTATATATAATTACCGATGTTTGTAAGGAGTTGAAAATAATTTACAATTATTAAAATCGGGGCGAAGAGAACTTTCTGGGTATCAAACCCCAAGTAATGCAGCCCACAGCATCTCACTTCATTGAGCAAGCTAGATACAGTTCGTACACACTGGACTTAAGATTTCATAATAACCAAACCCAAAAAGAGGGAATTATTATTATTATTATTATTAAGCTGTGATTATTAATTCACTTATGCCCCAACAGAACAAGTCCATTCCGCAAGAAAGCACGAAAAGGCTATTTTTAATTAAAATATCTCCGAGCTTAACTAAATAATACAAAAAAGGTTTATATTGAGTCGAAATTCCCAGTCTTTTAGAGATGCGGAACTATGCTAAATATTCCCCAAACTTTTGTAGTTAGTAAGAAGGAATTTCAACGTTCATGCTGTTTTAAAACCGAAAGAGCGTACAGTCAAATTAAGCTGAAACTGGGGATAATAAAACTAAGTTACGTGCATTATACACTACTCCAACCCTACGGCGTAACTGACCCGGCCAACTGGTATGAACTCCTGGAGACCTCATCTTACGTCACGACAGCTTACATCATCGTCAACACGGATTAGGCTTTGTGGCCTGTTCTCATTCAGAATTACGAAACTGTGAATCTCTTCAGAGATTTAGTGGGGCTCCTTTGACGAGAGATCAACCAGTCGCAAGGACTCTCCCTACGCAGAACAGGCCAACACAGACGAGGACAAATATCCACGCCCTAAGCGAGATACGAACCTACGACCCCAGTACATGCACTGACCAAAGAAAAAGAACTACCAGTTTGGTTGGTTCGTCGGTTAATGACGCTGTATCGACTGTAGAGATTATTCAGAGTCGAAAGATATACGAAGAGTATACGCAATGAACAACAGAAAATGCGGAAGAACGGGGTCGTATTACACTCCAAGGTACTGAAGGAACTTTTCCTGTAACCTGGAAGAACTAGAAACAAATAGTCCCTTCGGAGACTCAAACTGGGTACCGGCCAAGATTTTTCGTGCGACCGTGAAAATTACTTCTCAACTCACTGACGGACAAATACATATAGAAGATGCTTCAGAATGAAAGAAATGTATTGTTTTGGTGTAAAAAGATGAACTGGAGACTACTGAAACAGAAACAAACAGCTTCAAAATTTGAGCAACGTAGACATTTTATATGGGTACCATATTTGATCTCTCACCGTGAAGAACAAAGATTGTGGAAAGTGCGACGAGGAAAATATTTAGACCTAACTGGTAAGAAATAACAGCAGACCAGCGAAAATTGTACGATTAACAGATATTAAGTTTTCAATGTAGATCTTTGCTCCAAATTTTACCGACAGACAAATAATGCAATTTCCTTCATTCAGAGTTTGAAGACGCATAAAACTAAAGACACTCTTGCTCCAACAAATACCACACAATTAATTCTGCAGTATTGGGTGTCAGTTCCAAGAATTTTATGTAGGCCATGCTACCTGAACCTCCAATATCCAAACGTAAAGAACGTGATAATCTACTCTTTAGTATTTCAACTGTGAAGTAATAAATGAACCATCAGCCACTACAGAAATAGGGCAATGTGTACCAGGTGTTTAACTGCCGCGTGTGTTTCAGAATTGTAGAACAGAATCTCTAGGCAATAAAAAAAGAAGCCATGTATCCTTTGGTCTAATTAAAAATAACAAAACTCAACAGCTAGAGAGATTTAAAACGCGGAACACAAAACCTAGCTTAAGACCGGTTTGCAAAGACGTTCAGATGAGCTGTTTCCTCTTGGGGGTTAGATATTGATAACTGATAATGCGTGCGTGGTCTGTAATTTTAAAACATGTTGCATGCGTACTTACATTTACTGTTATACAAAAAACGAGCAGGCAAATAATGAACGGTGTCATTACATTGTCACGAGATGTACTCCAGCTCATCAACCATTCTTGTAACTCACTAAACTACAGATGAAAAAAAACTGGAACTAATAACTTCACGGAATTTTATTGTTTTTGCTGTTGTTGTAACATTAATATAATTTTTACAGGAGCAAGCTATTAATCTTGCATCTTGTAAGGAACAAAGACCTAAAACTTGTGTATTTAAGCAATGCATTTCTTAGAGGTCTGTCCGGAACCATTCTGAAACAAAGGGCCAGACAAGGAATTCTGTCACACATTTTTCCCTCGGAAAAAAAAGACGGCTGAAATCTGGTGTCTGCTATTTTGACGACGTAGAAAACTTGTGCTTGTAAATTATCTGTACTGTTCTTCCTATTGTCTTAGTGTTTAATTTTCTGAATATATTCATACACATGTTATCCTTTATTCAACAACGCCTTCAATCGCTCATATTATACAGCGTCGAATCACAGGATAATGAACGGAAAGGACGTGGGAGGAAGCGGACAGGTGTTAATTTGAGGTAGGTTATTATAATGTCATTTTCGTAGGTAACTCGGTTAAACCACGAACACGTCGAAGTCTTCGTAATCCTTACAGCAGATAAAGTACAATTTAGCACATTTAAAAATTGCGTATTTCTGATTCACGTCGTCGAAATTTTAGAAACGTGATGATTAAAGAGTGTGAGGTTGGCAAATTATACGAAGGCGGGAAAATGTCTGAGGACGACGAAAATGCAAATGGCACGAAGATGTGAGAAATGAACCACGTCGGAATGAGAACACAAAATAAATATTCTGAAACACGAAGCAAGGACTAAGGCGAGGGACGGAGCAGGCTCTTATGAACCGGAAGTTCTTTGCAGCAAATACAAAACCAAATGAGTCCTTCGTTTCTAGGTAGGGTCCTTAATCAGGTCATAACCCGCCCTGAGAAAAATACGGGGCATGGAAAGGAGTATCCTTATCTCTAAATTAATTATGAAATCGATATTTTACAATGGACGACAATTCGTATCAAGTGATTGTCAATTACTGAGTATCACTAAACGCGCATATTTCTTTTACTGATGTCGAAAACGCCCCTAGAAATTCAACCCTCCACATTCTACTTACAAAACATTCACGCATCAAGAATTCTTATGTAATAAAGTCTGCAATAGCGACGCTACAAAACTGCGCGGTTAAATACTTTCGTCGATCTAATAATAATCGAGAACTTGGGAGATTCTCTCTCCCCCTTTTCCAATTTTCCCATGTCCTTCTTAAACCCCTATTCGTCGGTGAACCCCTTCTTCCTCTTTGCGCTCCCCCCACATTCCACGGGCCAAAGTTCCCCAGAACTCCAGCTACTGCCCTGCTTCAAAATTTCCAACTGATTGAACGCACAGAGAAATATTATTTCATATAAAGTAAAATTCTTTCCCATATACGTTAACATGTATCAGTGCGGAACTTTTTGCACTAAGCAGAGGCATGAGGGTATTCTTTGCATTAATTTCATATAGGAAATCAATAAAGTTGTTTTTACGTCCGGCGGGATTTATCAATGCTTATCTTCTTATCGTACTCATCTGTAGCAAATATGGCGTCTTATGGC